TGAAGCAGCTTGCACCAATTGGTAAGCTGTGCTTTTCCAATCTTGTCCATCCTCCTCTTTGTTCTTCCTTCAAGTCTCTAGACAAGCTTTCGGAGGTACTTCCGAGGTTCTGCCTCTAGACGCGCTGATGCATGCTAAACAGCCACTGTTTCCCTACCGACCTTGCTGTTGGGGGTAGGAAGAGACACAAGAATCTACTGACCGCTGATAGAAGGGAACAGGTGAGTTCCAGGAAGCAGGTCAGAGGGAGAAGAAGTGATCGCTGGGACAGGAAGTTTGTTGGCCTGACGTTTCGGATTCTCGCTCGAACATATCATCAGATACAATCGCAGAAAAGGTTGATAGGGACGCAGAGCGCGCAGTATTTGTAACCCGTTGTCTAACAGCCAATAAACGTGCACATGTGGCTGGCACCTAGCTGTGGCTGAAATTAGGCGGAACAATGCTATTCTGTGTCCCACAGTAGAAGGCGCAGGGACGGTGACCTGTGCGCGAATTAGTTTATATTGATGGTAGACTTATGGAGCATCCACCTCACTATTTTTCCGCCCTCGCTCTCGTGGGCTCCTGTGTTGTGCCTTCCCGCACTGTGGGTTTGTTCAAGAGATGCCTGGATAATCATCTGTTAAGGGTCAGCCCTAACTTTCAAAATCTGATCTAACGGTTTACTGGGATGACTACAATCATATTACTCTCTTGATTTCAATAGATCGTATGTTAAAGTTAAATTTGACTCATTTGAAAATTTCATGACGCAAATGTGGCGAGTGTGTTATACGCTGTTATTTCGCAAGTGTCTCATAATTTTGCCATTTATATTTCGTTATTATCTATATGCATTTTGCATACTAATACGACCTGTTAAAAGGTTTGCACTTAAGTACTGTTTATGCGTACTTGGACCGTTTCAATGGAGTTTTTAAGGATATCTTTCTTCCATTCCAAATATACTGACCGATAGTAACTGAGGGCAGGATAGGAGAGACCGGAGCTGGTATTGGACGCAGATGGCTGGCGCGGTGTTGGCCTGTGCCTAGGCGCGCCACCACGCCGTCCATGTTTGACCCTTGTTATGTGTGAGCAGCCCGAATAACGCCTGTCCTGCCATTGTCTGGCCCGTGTTGGTTCAGTGTGTTTACCGCGTAGTCCATTTTGGGGAGCAGATAGCGAAACCTACTGCGTAAACGTCATCTTGCCTACATGGTACGAGCTACCAGTGTTGGCGGTGGCCTTGGGCAGAACGCTCCGCCAAATGTCCAGCCTCTTCAGTTTCCGCTTAGGCCATAACTGTGAACAGCCGCTCGAAACTGCTCATGTCAATTAGCGCTACAGAAAAGAATATAAACTTGAAACGGATGGCATTGGGGTGGGATTTAAAGACACACAGGTCAAAGATTGAGTGATGTGGAAAAAATCTTCGAAGGCGTACTTGAGACTACAACGGTGATGTCTCGATGGGCTGTTTGTTGTCCTCAAAGTAGAGCCGCGAAGGGGAACCTAAGGTTCTCGGGTGAATTATAAATGTGTGCTTGAGTCTAGTTCGCGAAATCCTGGATAATTACTTTACTTGTAAAAGGGGGCGCTGGGAAACATCCATTTGATTCGAATTTTCTCGTCGAGCAACCCCTTCAAGCCTTGCTTGCTCCCTCTTATGGGCTCCATCTTTTTTATCGCACGAGTATTTCAGCTTGCCAAATTTTGCGAACTGCGGTTAAGTGTTTTATGTCTCTGTGTATTCCCATTACTGTGTACCTGGTCTATCTTCCGCCTTCAGGGATCCACGTGCTGGGTTTCAAGCCGATAAAAAAGTTGAAACCTAC